TGTTTTCGGTGGTTTCTTTTTGAACTTGATGGTTGATGTTCTCAAGCTACGGTTCGCTGGTGTTGGTGGTTGATTCTTGACTTTGATTTATGGTTCTTTCTAGATCTGATGAGATCTGCAGTTTTCAAGGTGTTTGGGTTTGGACACTGCAATGGTGTTTCTGTGATGGTTAAAGCCTCATCGCAGTTGTAAGGTTCTTTTGTTGTCCGTTAGGATGTCTTTGAACTTGCTTATCACAATCTGGTTTGAGTAAGCTTGAAAGAGTTGTTAAGCTTGTTGTGGTTTATTTCACAAAGGTTATAGATACATGTTTTTGTCCATGTTAGCGGTCAGAACATTCACCGATCTTCATAAGATGGGTTTGATTAGTCAAGCTCATTTTTGGTTTGTTTAAAATGTTTGCGACTTTTTACACTTTTTTTTTTCAATTTGGTTTCGAATCCTGCGTTGGGTTCACTAAATTGTGCTTTTATGTGTATTTATCTACTTTGCATTAGGCTATTTATTGGATTTTTGTTCTGTTTGTTTATTTACATACCACTTTTGTTTTTCTCAGTTGAATTACCTATTTAGAGTTGATATGTGATTGTAGGTCAGGTTTATATTCCCCGAGATTGTAATTTTTTCTTATTTATTACATCTTCTTTGACTTTTGACTTTAAAAAATAGAGAAGTTTGAAAAATATAAATGAAATGACAATGTTATCCCTAGAGAATATAGATTGTATAATTGTCAAAATGGGCTAATCCATATGGACCTGTCCGCCAGGCCCGAAAAATCATAGGGTTTGAGCCTTAAAATTAGAACCCATATTCTATTCATAAGGTTTGAGCCTTAAAATCATAGAGTTTGAGCCTTTAAAATCATAGGGTTTGACCTTTAAAATAACACATTGATTTTTCTCACCACATTGAATTTTACCTCTATTCTATTCAATCTTCTCTTTTAAATCTTATACATTAATATAATCAACACTCTTTCCTCGTATTCTATTAATTTCTCTTATGTTAAATATTCAAGTATTATTTTAAATAATTTAGACATGTTTTGTATTTAAAAACACATTATAGTATTTTATAAACGATAATATAGTACTTAAAAATGTATTATGTTTAAAATGATATAATTTTTTATTTATTTCATTTATAATAAATATTATGGGGTTTTTATTTTAAAGTTTTATTAAAAAAAAGCCCGTTTAGGGCTGGGTAGCCCGAAGCCCATCTAAGTCCAGACTCGAATAGTAATTTTCGAATTCATATTATAACAAGGCTTTTTTGGTCAACCCTAAAATACCCGAGGTCCACCAAGGCCGACCCGTTTAGGGCAAGGTAGTCCATTTTGATAACTCTAATAGATTGTGGCAATTTCTTATTACACGATATGTATTTTTTACCGCACCATGTGAAATTCCGGAGATATATCTCCGGATGCGCCCAAAGTTCAGTGAACGTTGAAATATTCCGGAGATATATCTCTAGAACATTTTGGAACATAAGTCACACCTTTCTTCAATACACTTAAACTCAACTCTTCTCCTTCTCAATACACTTCAACTTCACAACTTCAGATTTCATCAAACAAGGCTCAAAAGAACATCAAACATCATCAATAACATCATTCAACATCATCAAAACCATACCTTTTAGGTAAATTTTTGAGTTTTCGGATGAGTTTTGAGTTTTCGTGTAAATGTGCAGAAATCAATGATTAGGGTTAGAAATGTGAAGGAATCACATGTAACATATTTTAGACTTAGTGTATGACTTGTTTGCTGGCTCAAAATGACGATCAAATCATGTTTTACAACTTGCATGAGGCACACTACGCCATTGTCGCGACCTCTGAGTTGCAGAACATTCTGGAGACACATCTTCAGAATTGTCCAGTGTTTCATATACTTTGAGAATTTCTTGAGACGCATCTCCAGAACTCTTCAAGTTTAATACTTTTATGGTGTTTCTAGAGATGCATTTCTGGAATTATTCAACATTATTATTTTATGGTGTTTATGGAGATGCATCTCTGCAATTTCATGCAGTCAATTTTTTTATTTTTTATTTTCTTGTTTGTATGTTTTGTTTGCGTGCACTAATGATAAGCCTTACTTTACCTTACAAGCATAATGGCTGATGGAGTCAACAGACTGAGACATGACCCGATTGCCCAGCACACATCCGTTCGGCGGGAGCGAAGCCAGCGGGTTCTAGAGGCAACAAGTACCTCTGGTCAGCCAGAGGCGTCGACTTCTGGGGTGCAATATACTTATGGAGATTGTGCTTCACCTCAGGCCACTCCATCTCAGGTCACTTCACCTTCTTCTCCTCCCCGTAGGAGACGAGATTCATCAGCTGACGTGTCACTTCCTCCATCCTCCTACAGACTTCAGGATTCACCTGCCACCTCTCGCTGATGATCCTGCTGATCCAGTTCCACCTCTAGAGGGTGAAACTGATGCGGATGCCGAGCTAGAAGGTTTTGTAGGAGGTCCATATGATTTGTCATTACTTCCTTTGTATCCAAACCACATTACCAGACATATATGAGACATAGAGGTAGCATTAGTTGGATTTTTGATTTATTTTTTACGTTAATTTTAATTGCTGACATTGATTATTACTGACATTGATTATTTCTGGAAATTTTCAAGTGTGTGATCCCTAGAAGTTTCTTACCCATGGTAGGAAGATTGATGGCTTGCTTCAGCCAGAGGAGGATTGGTTCTAGTCTATTTTGTTATTATCTGGCCTGAAGAACCTATGCACGACCAATTACATTCTGGTCAACCACATGATGCTTAATGCATTCGTGAAGAGATGTCATTCTGAGAGCTCATTGTTTCATCTCCTGTATGGTGAGATGTCTATCACACTAGATGATGTCTCGTGTTTTTTACACCTTCTGATTAGGGGGAGATTCCTCGATCATGGTAGGATGAGCAAAGACGAGGCAATTGAGATGATGGTAGAGCATTTGGAGGCTGACCCAAAGAAGGTGATTAGGGAGGTAGATAAAAGCAAATGTGTTCATGCTAGATTTGAATTCCTGAAAGAGATATATGATGATGATATCCTTACTGCACAACAGGCTCACGGTGATGCTGAGCAGGTGGAGGTACATAGGACTCATGCTTTGAGGGTATATTTTCTCTTTTGGTTGACACTTGTATTTTTGTGGCACGAGTGCCACTTATACTGACGTTGTATACCTCTGGTACTTCTTGGATCTACAACAAATCCATAAGTACAACTGGGGGGGGGGGGGGGGGGCTTGCCTGACCTATCTTTATTCGAAGTTGAGAGATGGATGTTGGTGGAAGACGAAACAGGTCACAAGTAGCGTGACATTACTGGTGGTAACAATTCTTGATCCTTGAATGTTTTTTTGTCAATTTCATTTCATATTTGCGAAACCATTGCTGATAATTCTTGATCCTTGAATGTTTATTTATTTATTTTCATTTCAGCCTTGGATCCTCCAGTATTTCCCGCGCATCACTAGCAAGACGAGTGTGGATGAGTACATTGAGGACATGCACTGTGCCTGTGCTTTTATCCCGCTCAGAGGGAATCAGGCAGTTGAGCCTTTTAGAGTCTACCTTGATCATTTGGTTGCTGAGGACATGCACTTTAACAACTACGTGGATCACCGTTAGACGCGTCCATTTGACAAGAAATTGCTATACTCCAGATGGTCGACATGCAGATCGCGTATCACTGCTCCTCACCTGCCCGAGCGTGTTATGCGACAGTTCGGGTACACCCAGATCATCCTTAGACACCATGTTGTCTCTGCTCCTTCTGCCTTGACTCGTAGATAGATAGATGATATGTTTGTTGATTATGAGAGTCATCTGGTTCCAGAGGAGACACAAACTACCATAACGCCGAACGATTGGAGCTACATTGACAGATACATCAGATAGTTCTTTAGAGTGTCACATCCGTACATGCTGCAGACTGCTTCAGGAGATCCGCTGAGACCAACTCATAAGGAGATACTAGATGAGGAGCAGACCCAGCTAGATCATACTGATGATGTCTTGGCTCGGTGTTGTCGCATAGTAGAGATTGCGCGGACATACATTGACGAAGGTATATTCTCTGAGGGGTCTGCTGTCAGGCGAGTCCTGGATGCCATGGTGGCGGAGGCACATGGGGTACTGTTGTACCAGAGACATCGTTGGAGGACGAGGGGATTGATGGTCGAGGAGGCAGAGCAGGCAAATGAGATGTTGTTAGACGCGCCCATTAATAATATGTTATTATTTTGTTGTATTATTATACTCTCTACTTTATTTTTATGGTTTTATCACATTTTAGATCTCGATTGTATGACATTTTTTACATATATTGTTATACTTCATTTCAATATTAGTCTCTCATTATTTTGGGTTAATATTCACTCCATTTCTTTGTCCCTCCATTTTCTCCATTACCATAGTTTTGTGTGTAAATAACACACATTTCTATGACATGTGACATATAATTAATATTTAGTTGATTTTATATACATAAAACTATAGTAATGGAGAAAATTGAGGGACAAAGAAATGGAGTGGATATTAACCCCATTATTTTGTACGTTTATTTTTTGTTATTATTTTGGATCGTGTGTCATATTTTATCTGAAAGCAAATACATAATTTATAGTTAAAAACACATATTCTGATAAACTTCGGAGATCTATCTCAAAAAAATTATCGAACATATATCTTTGACAATTCAAATATAAATAATATCTGAATGACATATTTTAAATGTTTAAAATAATTTCAAAAATATATCATCAAAATATGTTAATGTTTATTGAAAAATAAGTCAGAAATATATTTCTTGAATCAAAATATATATTTATATTTATGGTGCTTAAGAGTGCCAGTAAGAAGTTGCCTAGATTGTATAGAGTGAAATAGTGGGGTTTGAGAAAGGGGTTTTAAGAACCCAGCCAAACAAAACTCCAATTTCTTCATCTTTCTGTGCGAGAAAAAAAGAAAGCAATGGAAGGAGCGTCGTACGCACGCATGCCGAGGGTGAAAATCCGCGAGCTAAAAGACGACTATATGAAGTTCGAGCTTCGCGACACCGACGCCAGTGTGGCAAACGCGCTTCGGCGCGTGATGATATCGGAGGTTCCGACCATCGCAATCGACCTAGTGGAAATCGAGGTCAACTCGTCCGTTCTCAACGACGAGTTCATTGCTCACAGACTCGGTCTTATTCCACTCACAAGCGAACGTGCGATGGCCATGCGGTTCTCACGTGACTGTGATGCTTGTGATGGTGATGGACAGTGTGAGTATTGTTCCGTTGAGTTTCATCTTAGGGTTAAGTGTATTACTGATCAAACGCTTGATGTTACTAGCAAGGACCTTTATAGCTCTGATCATACTGTTGTTCCTGTTGATTTCTCTGGTGGTGATCCTTCTTCCGTTGAATCTGCTGATGGAAGGTTCCGTTCCTCCTTTCTTTTTTCCCTTTTAAACTCTAACTTATATCATGTTTTGACAATGAGTTTTCTTAGATTTCAAATGGGTCTTTGTTTTTCTGGAATGGGTCTTATAAACCCTTGTTAAGTATTTTGGCATTCTTGTTAATGCTGAGAAAGTTTTAGTTTTGGGTTTAATTGGAGGGTATGTGTGGTATGAGTTTTTTTGTGCGTGTTCAATGTAGGGGGATTATAATTGTGAAGTTGAGGCGAGGTCAGGAGCTGAGGCTGAGAGCAATTGCTAGGAAGGGGATTGGTAAGGATCATGCGAAATGGTCGCCAGCAGCAACTGTTACTTTCATGTATGAACCAGAGATTCACATAAATGAAGATTTGATGGAGTCTTTGTCACTTGAGGAGAAAAAAGAGTGGATTGATAGTAGTCCTACCCGTGTGTTTGACATTGATCCTGTCACACAACAGGTTTGCCTTTTCTCTAATGTCTTGTGATTTTGCTTATGCACATTTCACTTATTTCATCAGTAATGCTACATTACTGTTTCTTGAAACTTGTGCTCTTTAATTTTTGAGCTTTTCATATACTCACCTGCATGTCTTCTAAGTACTTTAACGTTTGTTTGATCATTGGTGCCTGTATTTTGTTTTGAAATAACCTCAACATGTGTAAAATGTTTATTAATTCTGAGCAAATTTGTGATTATATTTGCTAATCCTGAATATTATGTGATTCACTTGAACATTTTGAGAAGAAGTGAAGTGGAAAGTGGAATTAGAGGTATCTGTCCTCTTTCCGTGTCCAATGGGGGATCCGTGATTTAATGTTTGAATAATGCTACTTGTGAGCAAAGTAAGTGTAACCTTTACATTCTGATGATTTTCACTTCACACTATCATTCAAGAACTAGACAACCTTGCATTAGAGGATAAGAAAAGAATAGAGCTGCATACTGTGACAAAGGGGCTCATACTGATGCCTAGCAGCACACATGGAAGTGTACGGTTGAGATCATGTAGTAGGGGACACCGGTGATTAATGGTCACCAGAAACACAGAAAAATTAATAGTGGGGACAAAATGGGCTTTATTTTCCATGAACCATTAGCGGTGCAAATAACTGTAAATGAATACAATTTTTAGTGGTGCAAATAATTGTAAATGAATACAATTTTGACCGCAACCATAATATGATGGGCATTACCTAAAACTATTCGATGGCCTGAGTTTGGTTAGATGCATTGCGCCACAACACCGTTTTAGGGCCTGATTAAAAACTGTTTGATCTCAACAAAGACATAATTTAAGATATCAATGTTAACTGGGAAAGTAAAAACAGTGTTAGAACGAATGTGAGGGATTTACCAGAGTTGTCATTCCTGGATAGCGGTGCGAATCAGCCAACCTCAAGTGTGAGAGCGTATAGCGGGATGACTGCTCTATTTGATCCTTTTTGTTGTACAAATTACATATAATAATTATAAACATATATTTAATGTAAAATTAAACAAATAACTCAACTCATGAAATATTTATAAATCAAAGCTCACACAAATCTTGAAGTGCATAAACAACTATGAATGAAGGTTAAGGTTGAGTCTCAACTCAAATTTGATTGAGAAAACCAAAATTACTCTTAAAACATTGTAAGTTAAAGGAGTAATTTCCTTTTCCTAAAGGTGAAAAGGATAGCAGGCAAGAAACTGCTCCGGGCTGGTAATCGCTCTGCTCCGCCCTGAACATACTAATTACTATACTTGGCAGGTTCTGATCTACCTATTTCACAATGATTCTTAGGATTTAAATGAAGCTACTATAAATATTATTAATATTCAGATTTAAAATACTGTTTGTGATGATTGTTTAGCATGCATGTCTAGTATCATTATCTGCAGAGATATTGATCCTCATTTTTGCTGAAGCAAGGCCTATATTCTTGAAATTGACATATGATCAATGCTGTGTCTGTCAACTACTAGTCGTTGTAAATACCCTTTATCTTGTGCGCATTCTTGATAAATAGTTCATTAAATCCATTATTAAGTTCTTATTGGTTTGTTTGTTACTATGAATCCTTCACTGGTGTATTTATCGTGCTGAACTTTTTGTACCGATTAGGTGTCGGTGGTTGATGCTGAGGCATACAGTTACGATGATGAGGTGATTAAGAAAGCAGAAGCAATGGGAAAGCCTGGTCTTGTAGAAATCACTGCAAAGCAAGATAGCTTCATTTTCACAGTTGAATCTACTGGAGCAGTTAAAGCTTCTCAACTATTGCTAAATGCCATTGAAATTGTGAAGCAGAAGCTGGATGCTGTGAGGCTATCTGAAGATACAGTGGAGGCTGATGATCAATTTGGGGAGCTAGGTGCACATATGCGAGGAGGATAATTTAGTAGGATCTCGGACACGTTACCCTCGGAACTTGTTTGTTGCATTGCATGTCGTTTTTAACTCAACACCTGCAATATTTACTTAACTTTTTGAACCAAATATGCTAATTTGCTATACTTGAAGATTAGCTTCCTGAAAGCAGTGGTTGGCTTAACTCTTTGAACTAAATAGCAATCACTCACAGGGATGAGACTATTAGACCCAATTCGGCGACAATTGTGTTGAAGCTTTGGGTTATTTAAGTCACTTGAACTGTTTATATATAATTTAAATCCGTTAGATTTTATTTTAACTTAAAGCACAAGAGCAACTCCAATAGGTTCATGCTCCATTAAAATATTTTTTGGTGAGCATAATATCTAAGAAGTTTGTTCTTTTATACCTAAAAAAAATAGTCATCCACAGTATTAACATTAGATGTAGAGCAACTTGTAGACCATTTAGATTCATTCATAGTTGTATCTAGATCAATTAGGTTGTAAGAAGTTTTAGTCTATCGGAGTAAAAACTTGTTAAAATTGTTGTGACCGAATGGCTCATAAGAATAAGTGTAACTGCTATGCCTCAGCGCCGGTTAGGTTCTTAAGAAGTTGTAGTGTTGGAGTAAGCCATATGTAAATAAAACCTATTAATAAAACTATTTCTCATTTTAATTATAAGGATTTAGTAACAGAGTATCCTCTAAAGTGCAACATAGAAATAACTGTTAACTCCTCAAAATTATTAGACTTTAGCAATATATCTTCTTTAAATTTACGAAACATGTAATCTATTAAATTTAAAAATATTCATAAAAACCAGTGTCAGGTTTATATGTTATATCTTGAATGTTGAGTTCTCTTCTAACCATCAAGAGGAAAGTTATCTTGAATGTTTTGAGTTCTCTTCTAAGAATCGAGGGAGAATTATAAGAATCCGGTTGCTCGTCAATGGGTGGGGGAGAAGTAACTCAACCAACTTGAATTAATTAAATTTCATCCGTTGGCGAGGGAGAAGAAACTCAACCAATTTGAATTAGTTGAGTTAAGAATTAAAGGAGTTGAAGGTTCGGGTTTAACTCTTCAACTAATTGAGCGAAGAGTTAAAAAGAATTGAAAGTTGACAAACATGTAAATATACAGTATCAATTTGTAGGGTGGCTCAAATGACTTGAATTATCGGAGCTAAGAGTTAAAAAAGAGTTGGAGATTCAGAATTCATATCCTGACAAATGTGTAAATATATAATTAACAATTTGTCATTAAAAAAGAGTTGCTGAGAGTAGCTATTTCTCAGCTAGTCTCCCAAGTATTTTGTCATCCACCTTCTTGTATTGGCCTTCTTATTATATGAAGAGAATTTCTTAGGGTACCTTAACTATCTTTATTATTTCAGGTAAATTTTCACAAATGTTCTATGTTTTTTGAGATATATTTTCGAACGCATCCAAATGTAAGTGAACGTTAAAATATCTTGGAGATGCATCTTTGAAACATTTTGAGGTATAAACTGCGTCAGACTCTTCTCTTTTTTCATTTCACATTATTCAACCACAATTTCAAATTCTCTCAACACACTGCTCTAAATCAAATCAAATCAAATTTCATCAATCAAGACTTACGGGAATATTAGGGGTGCGGAAAAAAACACCGGTTATACTTAACTAAATTAATATCTAAATTGTTGCATTTTTAAAAATTCAATTCAAATGTTAAAATATAAATTTGGATATCCATTTTATTATTTAAATATAAACAAATATCTATAATAATAATTATAATAATAATATGGTTTAATTATTGGATATTTAAATCTTATTGTATGTTAAATTTATATTATTCTCTTTTCCTGTTTCATCGTAGTGTCAAGGATGGAACACATAACCTGTACTTAGGGCTGGCAATGAACCAAACCAACTCGAAGATAGTTCGGAATTCGACTCGACAATTAAATTGTTGAACTAGGTTCATGAACCAAATGAGTTGAGTATGAGCGAAAAATTAAGTTCGTTAACTAAATGAGCTGAACTTGAACTATACATAGTTCGACTCGTTAGGTTCATGAGTCAACTCGATTACATATGAAAAGAATTATACTGTCTTTAAGATTAAGTTTAAATATTTACTTCAAATCTTAGACAAATTTAATCTTCAATTTATTAGTTTTTGAATTAGACTCTCAAATGTATCTCTTGAAAGTTGTGTAGGTTTTGAATTAGTAGATTTCGAAGATAAAGTTAAATTTCAATATGATAACTTTTATTTTATTTTAATATTTTATTTTAAAAATATATATTTATTTAAAATGTCAAATATACTAAAAAATATATATTTTTTAAAAAATAGTTTTTAAGTTCGTGAACCATGTGAGCTGAACCTAATGAGATGAACCTAACGAGTCGAACCGAACTGTTCGTGAACTTATAACGAGTCGAGTTTGAGCTTAAAAAAAAGTTCGTGTCGAACTCGAACTCGAACTCGAATTCGAACAATTCTTAACGAGTCGAGCCGAGCTGAGGTGAGTTCGACTCGACTCGACTCATTTCCAGCCCTACCTGTACTGTATAGCAAAATTTTTTTCTAAAAATAATTTTTTAATTTTTTAAAATAACATATAAATAATGACATTACTATTTAATTTGTCAATTTCATCACTCAAAATTTTGAGACACCATTTTCTTTAATGCTCGGGAGACTGTGAGACTAGTTTCCTGGGCGGCATACTCATCTCCTTCACTTATTTTTATTTTTATAGTTGATATTTTAAAAAATAAAATGATTTATATAAGGTTTTCGTTTCAATTTCCATTTCTTCATATGCACAGTACGTATAACTATTTCAATTTATTTTAGAAAATTAAAGTGATGGAGAAGGGGGATTTGTTTATAAACATAATCATGTACTGATAAATTCAAACATATTAGAAAAATATTGTTGAGCATAAAGGGGATTAATAAAATTTATTTTAAGTATTTAAATTCAAAAGTTGATATTAATTTAAAGAAAATAAAATTTAAATTTAATTAAATAATTTGATTTAAATCAAAACTAATTTAGAACCGGTTTTAAACCAGTTTGAAATCAGATATAAATTTTAAATTGATTCTTGTGATAAGTGGTTTGGTTTATAAACCATAACCATAAAAATGGATTGGTTCACATTAAATGATTATTTACGTACACCCCTAAGAAACATCAAACTTCATCCATAACATAATTCAACTTCAACAAAACCATCAATTTCAAGTAAGTTTTTCGAGTTTTCGATAAATATTTGAGTTTTAGTGTAAATGAGTGGAAATCAATGATTAGAGTTAAAAATGTGTAGAAATCACATGTAACACAGTTTAGACATAATGTATAACTTGTTTGTTGGCTGAAAATGGTGATTAGAACATATTTTTTTTCAACTTGCACGTGGTACATTCGCTATTGACGCAACTTCTGAGTTGTAGAACATTCTGGAGATGCATCTCCGGAATTATTCATCGTTTCATATACTGCAGGAATTTTCAGAGATGCATCTCCGAAATATTTAAATGTTTTAGTTTTCTGGTGCTTTCAAAGATGCATCGTCAGAATGTTTCGACATTTTAGTTTCCTGATGCTTCCGAAGATACATTTTCGGAATATTTCAAAATTTTAGTTTCCTGGTGCTTCCGAAGATGCATCTCTGGAATTTCCTGCAGTATTTTTTTTCTTGCTTGTGTGTGTTGTTTGCGTGCACTAATGGTATGCCTTACTTTAACTTACATGCATAATGGATAACAGACTTGACAGGATGAGACATGGCAGGGTTGCTCAGCGCGCATCAGTTCGCGCGGGAGCGGAGCCAGCAGGTTTCGGAGGCTCCAGGTACCTCTGCTCAGGCAAAACCATTTACTTCTGGGGCACCGTCTACTTTTAGGACTCGTGTTTCACCTCAGGCTGTTCCACCTTCTTTTTTCTGTAGGAGACGAGATTCAAAATCTAACACATCACTCCCCCCATCCTCCAGTAGGCGTCAGGATTCACTAGTGCCACCTCCTACGGATGATGATGCTGATCCAATTCCACCTCCCACTGATGATGCTGTTAATTCAGTGCCGCCTCTAGAGGGTGAGACTGCTGCGGATGTTGAGTCAGATACTTTTGGAGGAGGTCTAGTTGATTTGTCCTTACTTCCTCTGTATCCAAACCATAATGTCAGACATATCTAGGACGGAGAGGTAGTGTCAGTTGGATTCTTTATTTTTTTATACCTAAATTTTAATTGCTGACATTGATAATTTCTTACAAATTTCAAGAGCGTGATCCCTAAAAGTTTCTTTACCACGAGAGGAAGATTGTTGCATTGCCTCAGCCGAATGAGGATTGGTTTCAGTCGGTTCTATCCTTATCTGTCCCGAAGGACCTATGCATGACCGGTTACACTCTGGTCAACCACGAGGTGCTTAATGCATTCATGAAGAGATAACACTCTGAGACCTCGTCGTTTCATCTCCCACATGGTGAGATGTTTATCACAATTGACGATGTCTCGTGTTTGTTACATCTTTTGATCAGGGGGAGATTCCTCAATAATGGGAGAATGATCAAAGACGAGGCAGTCGAGATGATGGTAGAGCATCTGGGCTTGATCCAGGGGAGACGATGAAGGAGGTGGATAAGACCAGGGGTGCTCATGCTAGATTTTAGTTTCCAAGGAAGCTCTATAAGGTTGAGATCTAAAAGGTAGAGCATGCTCATGGTGATGAAGAGCAGGTGGCGGTCCACAGGACACATGATTTGAGAGCATACTTTTTTTTTGGTTGGCACTTCGATTTTTGTGGACAAGAGTGTCACTTATACTGGCGTCGTCTACCTATGGTACTTCTTGGATCTCGGGCGGATCCATGAGTACAATTGGGGGGCTGTTTTCATAGTCTATCTGTGTTCGAAGTTGATAGAGAGTTGTATGTGAAAAACAAAGAAGGTCACACGTAGCGTGACCCTACTCGTGGTAATAATTCTTGATATTTAAATTTTTTTCATTTCAT